AAGCCCAGATTTTGAAGTCAGGAGCCACGCCGCTGAGCATGAGTGCTCCATCTGTTTGGAGAACAAAGGCGATCTCAACACCATGGCGATCCTTCCATGCCCTTCGGAGGCATTGGCATTGTTATTATTATTGTAATTGACTATTAATTACTGTTTGGTTGTTTCCATGTTTGTTGTTTCTATTAGGAGATGTACTTTCATCATCACTGTGATGGTTTTCTATCCTTACTGCTGCCATGATTGCTAGTGCTGCTCTTACTTGGCATGGTTTTATCTGTTCTACATGGTTGTTTTGTTTGTTTGCGTAGCTAGCTGCCTTACTCAATCCTTAAATCCTAAAACCCTAAGCCCTAAAACAGCAAGTCCTAAACGCTAAACCCGAATTCGACCTTCACAAGCCCTAAATCCTGGTCCTACTGCTGATGGACGAAATCCTGCATGACCTTCAGGACCCTAAACTATGGGAATTCTGGTATATTCCTTATTATGGGTCCTGCAGGATATTGTCCATCCACAGTACAATCCCTTGATCCGTAGGTGAGCCCCAGGCCCCCATGAGATGAACCCCGAAAGCCCATCCTGCACCAAGTCTCCTGGACACCGGTCGTGAGATCAACAAGATATGTTAGAAGCTGCCCCCACCCTGTAATAGTGGTATAATAGGAATACAATAGGGCCCTAATATCATATGAATATAATCCTTATTATAGTCACTGTTACAGGGTGGGGGCAGCTTCTAAAAGATATGTTAGATGTAGACAAGCTATGGTATATTCTGTTAAATCACATGAAAATGATACACAAACTAAATCCCCAAGCCTAGGCCCATGACCCCTTTACGAGCCTGAGGGTGGAGCGCGATGTGAGGTTGACTGAAGGCTCCCCCATCTCTAGGGTTCGGGCATAGGGCTCTGGGTTTAGGTTTAGGGTTTAGGGCATCTTTTTGTCGGTTCCTTTTGTAGTTCCCTTTTATTCTAGGGTTCCCTTATTAAAACTGAATACCAGGAGAAAGGGTACCCTGATTATTGTGGGGACACTAGTCTTAAAACTCGAAGAGTAACCAAGAGGGTCCAGATATACTACTAGTATGGAACTATGTCCGTATGATCTTTTGTTAATTCCTGGATGGTAGTGTATACCCAGAGGCTCCATAGTAGTTCCTTTTTGGGATTACCTGAAAGGGTTCTATATATGAACCCCAAAAAGGAACTACTTTGGAGCCTTAGGGCATGGACTCTTTAGGTAAGACATGCGGCACCCGTACTTGGAGGGTCGGGGGACTTAGTAACTGGTTATTTTACGGAGTTATAAGTACCATAACCCCAAATAGGGTCCCTTTTAGGGTACTTATGAGTCTACTTTCTACCTACTCTAAGTCCCCCGACCCTCCAAGTAATATTCAGGGGGTGCTGGGCCGGAGGCTCCCACGTCTTCCACGTGTCGTGCATCCGCGCATGCCTGCGGCTCCAACCTAACTGTCCCGATCCTTGGTCTAACAGAGAGTTTCGGGTGTTACGGTTAGGAGTTTTCAGGAGTTTAAGGATTTCGAGTTGAGGAGTTTCGGGTTTAGAGCTTAGTGGCTTAGTGGGTTTCTGGGGTTTTATGGGCAGCTAGTGGGATTGATTTGGCGTTCAAGTGGAAACAGGGGTTTAGTAGGGCTTTGGGGCTTGGGGAGTTTAGGAGAACACCTCAAGCCCTAAGCCCCAAAGAACGAAATCAGCCCTGATCGCAAACTCCAAAACCTCCACGCCCCTTGATGCCCATTAAACTCCCGTTTGAGTGATGAAGCCCTGTGTGGTGGAGCCCTAAGCCCAAACCCGAAGGCCTAAAGCCTAAACACAACACCCCAAAACCCTAAAGCCTTAAACCTCGAGCCCTAAAGCCCTACATGTTGATGTTATGAAAGCTGGCCTTGCTCTGATTCCAAGGGTCAAAGGAGGGAGCCTTAACAAGGACCCCTAGGTATATACCGTTAATATAGCTATTGTATACCCATGATATAGCCCATTATAGGGTAGGGGTCCCCATTAAGGGTCCATCCTTTTCCCCTAAACCCCCTAAGCCCCCAAACCTTTAAACCCTAAACCCTAAACCCCTAAACCCTAAACCCTATACCCTTATAGAATCCCTATAGATCCATGTAAAGAGACCCTTAAAGGGTCCGTCCTTTTCCCCTTTGACTGATGGGGTCAAAGCTTGAGCTTCCGAGGAGTGCCGAGCACCTCTAGAGGCCGGGCCTCCTGAGGGGATTTATATGGGATGTCCCTATCCTTCTTTTTGCTTATGTGCTTTTTTGGGGCCCTACTATAGGGGGTTTCCTCTAAGGGCTCCTTATTGGCGTTCTTCTGGTTGACTCTTAGGACTTCAACTTTTTGGGTTTCTATGGGTTTAGGATTTTGGGGTCGTTTAAGGGTTGCTTTAAGAGTCCCTTTCAGGGGGTTTAAGGCTTCGGGTTGGGGGCTCGGTTCCTTTAAGGTTCCTCTCCTTTGAGGGTCTCTAGCTTGAGCTTTCAGAGATTCTCGATAGGCTTTTCGGACTTAGAGAATGCAGGTTTTCCGCAATACGGTTTAAGCTTGGGCTTTTGCATCCACGGTAGGATTGTGAATCTGTCGTAGTTTTAATTTGGGGGGCGGGCTTTCTCGGGCCGACCGATAGAATTATGTTTGTTGTTGATGCTGTGAGGCTCGGGGGTCTGCGGTCTTGGTTTTTGTTTTCGGGGGTTTAGGGTTTAGGGTTTAGGGTTTAAGGGGTTTGCTTCTAGGGGTTTGGAGGTTCCCAAACCACAAGAGCGTGTCGTTTTTGCAGGGGGCTAGGCTGGAGGTTAGTGTTGTGGCCAAGGTGTTGACGTCTTTAGGCTTAGGCGGCTTAGGTTTGTAACCATTCGTGTCGCTTTTCGGTTTTCGTCCAATCCCAACAATTGAGTCAAACAAGAGCCGTCTCTGCAGCCATGCCATGGTTGCATAGTCAAACTCTAAGCCTGCAAAATGATTCCAGACTATAAAAGACGCCACAGCCCTATGCAATTCTGACTCCCCTTTTCCCCAAAGTCTATGCTCCCCAAACCAAACACCGAAAGCTACCAAAGGTCCAGAACGCCTCAGCCTACAAACTCGTGAATCCTGATTTTCCCCAACCTGTATCCCAAACATCCACCTTTTGGGGTAATCATATTATATAGAAACCATAAGGAACCCTAAAGCGGTAGGCTTTTTCGGCTACAGGAGAGCCTAACACCCGAACCCCCGAAACCTAGGTTCTCATTAGTTTCCATTTTAAAGATTGATCTAGAGTAAACAATATGGTTTTATGGGAATTTAATCAAGTCCTTCAACAAGAACCCCGAAAACTCATTTTAGGCCTCTATACTCAGGCCCCCAACCCTGGAGCTCTCCGGGTCTTCTTCTGGTTTAGGGTTTTGGGTTTAGGGTTTAGGGTTTTGGGTTTAGGGTTCAGGGGTAGGATTCAGGGGTATGGGGTAAAGGTTTTGGGTTTAGGGCCGCCCGCAGGCTTCGCAAATAGCCTCCGTCGTCATGGAGCCTGGTGCATCTGTTTTCCGTGCGTGGGTTGGTTTGGGGCTGTGCTTTGGGAGTTTGGGTTTTCCAGCTGTTGTGTGCCTGTGTCGTTCAATTTGCAGAGTCGGGGATGGTTGGGGTCGTTTTTGGGATAAAGAGTTTCGGGATTAGGATTTGGGCCTTTGGGTGTCCAGTGGCTTAGAGCTCGGCTTCATCAGTGGTTTCGATTTTGGGGCTTGGCACGCCTCGAGGTACATACGGTTAGAAATACAGGCCTGCTCCGGGATAATAGGGGCAATCCCAGGACTGGGGCCCTGAAAGAACGGAGTTCATTAGCCGGAGGTCCACATTACCACACATGTGTTAGCTGAACGTGGCATAGCCGTGCCTCATCAGTAATCAACATCAAGTCCCTTAAGCTGTGGCAGCTGGGGCCCCACACCCAACATCCTGAAGACAAAAGCCCAATTCTTAGATCCAGAAGCCTTAAAGCCCAAGAGATCAAGCCTGAGCCTGTCACCTGTATTCCCTTAAAAGGGGCCGTTAATAGCGTCTCCTGTAACCGGAAAAGACCTTTGAACCCAAGACGCTACATGCAACACCCGAAACCTCTACCCCAAACCCTAAACCCCAAACCCCTAAACCCTAAACCCTAAACCCTAAACCCCTATAAACCCTAAACCCTAAACCCTAAACCCCTAAACCCTAAACCCTAAACCCTAAACCCCAAACCCCTTGATAGAGCCCTCAAGTACAACCCTTAAAGGTTTCCCTGAAGGAAGCCTTAACGCAAAGAACCCCCCCCCACGGACCAAAGCCCCCCGAGCTGAGGAACTGAAAAGCCCGGAACCGGAGCCAAAGCCAGCGAAGCCCTCAAAGCTCACTCAGGCGATCCGGGGGCATTATTTTCTCTTTCGGTTGTAGACAGGTGTTATAGGGGTGCTTCCGGGCATGAAGAGGACTTCATACAGGTTGAGCAGGGTCTTATGAGGGCTTTATGCGACCTTGATGACGGCCTTATGAAGGTTTGTGTAAGTTTTGTGGCATTTCTATCAAGGTTACTGTTTGGATTCATCATAGGCTAATAATATTTATGAGGGTGATGTGGTTTGGAACTGACCCCTGTGTAGGATTGCAGGCTTGGGGTACATTTTGGGTCCAGTTTATAAGTCTCTTGGGCTCACGGTTTTTGACTTCGAGTTTAGGGTGCTGCTGCTTGCGTATTTCCGTTGCTAAACCCTGATGCCGAAACCCTACGCCTGAACCCACCATGGGCTTCGAAAGAGAGTCTGTTGGCTGATCGGGCCAGGCTTAGGTGCAGGGTTAGGTGGGGCTTCGAGTTTGCGCGTTTAGGAAACCCTGAACCCTAAACCCTGAACCCTGAACCCTAAGCTCCTAAACCGCTGATCTCCTAAAAATTCTGTATCTCGCTCAGCCTTGGCTTGGCAAGCGTTCATAAACATGTTTCGTAGCCCAGCTCCTGAGCTCATGGCTACGAAGGCTGGTGAGGATCTGCTTTCCTTGTCCGGTGTGTTGACCGAATGCTTCGGGAAGGGCAGCGACTTCACGGTCATCGTGGAAGAGCCCTCATGTGACAGTCCTCGCAGTGTACGAAATTCTGAGGCACCGGTGAAGTGCACGGAGTTCAAGGTGTGGTCTGTCCTACTTGCCCAGTGGTCCCCAGTCTGTGAGAAGATGATCCGCTCTGAAAGCTATGCGGAGTCACAGGCTGCGCAGGTCGTCATCAAAGACTTCTCTGCTGGTGCCGTTGAGATCTTCCTTCGTTTCATGCATTCCGGTACTGTCGGGCGCTTTGCCATACCTCTTGTGGAGGTGGTCGCACTGGCAGACAAGCATCAGGTCAAGGCTTTGCATGATGCGTGTTTGTGCTTTGTGCGACAAGAACTCAAGTCTCGACCAGCTGTGGCATGCGAGGTCTTCGCTTCTGCGGACCGTTTTCTTCTAGCAGACTCGAGAACAGAGGCGCTCGATCGCATCTTCATGAACCCTGGAGAGGCCCTAAGAAAGCGTCCAGCACTGGACCCGGAGCTATTGGAGGAAATCCTTGGGGTCAGGCTTGCTGTGCATGTCAGAGTGTGCGCTTCAAAAAACCCTCCGGAGCTGGGGTGACAAGGAAGACGACTCCCTGGAATGGCTCATCAAAATCCGATCACATGGAGAACACAGCACTGATGTGCTTCACTCTCTCTGGAGTCGCTACAGCAATGGCGGGGGGCGGGGCCCCTTTCTGGGCTATTGGGTGGCTGTGATTCTGGGACCGCGGAGGCAGATTTGAGCATAGATGCTCGTTGTGTCCGCTCGATGGCTCGCAGCGGCCATGTGCGCACCCTACGGAGAGGGCGGGTGCGGTGGTTCCTTCCGCATTTCTGGCTTTATCTTCAGGGCTTCTCGTTCGCAAGGAGGCGGGGCACGTTTGATGCGGCACCTACGGCTTCTTTTCGGATCTTGTCCTCCGACGACGGTGTGGGATGGCATGTCGCTTATGAGTCGTACAAGAGGGAGATCAAGTTGGGCACTTTCCTGGCTTGCCAGAAGCCTCCAGGCCTTGTGAGGTGGCTCACTCTCGAAGTGCTGGAGGGCCGGCTTGTGGAGATTAGGTTCTGCATTCACGGCATTTTGCAGATGTCAGTCTGAAGTGGCCTTGTGAAGAAGGGTGGAAGGCAGGATTGAACAGGTTCCATTCGACTGCGATATGAAAGCACGACAGTACATGTTCCGAAAAAAGCTGTTGCAGGCCTGCCAACTTCTCTTCGACAGTGGCACAAACGAGAAACACGGTTGTGCTAGCCGGTAGGTAAGTGGTTTGGCTCTGAAATTCGGGACAACGGCTGGGCCTTCCTGGCATAATCTGTGCAGCCGTTGCGCCTGCTGACAAACTCAGCACTTGAGGTTTGAAAGCCGAAGCATCAAACCTGAGCCAAGGCGTAGCCATCTCCTCTCGACCCACTCCACATTCTGCAGCCACGTGTCCAATTGGTTTAGCCTTAAACTCACAGGTCTTTCGCATTCGAGCCTGCGTGTCTCAGTCTCCTCCAGACAAAATCCTCTGACACAGTTTACGCTAAACCCCAAATCCTAAAACCCAAATCCTAAGCCCACCCCTTGGAGCCAACGTGCCTCAGAAAAGACCAGCGAATCCAGGGAATGCAGAAGATGCCTGGCCCAGCTCGACTGTTATCCAGCCACGCGTAGTACCACACAACTGAACCCCACTCGCAACAGACTTGGAAACATTGAACACCAGATCGCAGGCCTGGAAAAGGCACGGCTCCAAGCTCAACGCCGTGGCTGCCAAACTTCGGGAGATCCGTGCGCAGGCGCCAGAGATGATTTCTCCATGGAAGCTACAGCGCCACTTTTGGGAGATATTTCGCTGTAGAAACCTATGTGCTCCAGATGTTCGAGATAAGTCAGGCTGATGGTGTTGAAACTTTTAGGCTTTCAGGGTCTCGGATTTGCGGGTTTGGGATTTGGGGATTCGGGTTTAGGGAGCAGGGGTTGGGACCCGAACTCTGCCCGGTAGCCGAAAGCCAGCACCCGAAACAATAACTGGGCTCTCGTTAAGGGATTTGATTTCGTTTGCCATCATAAGGAAGCATCTCATCTATTATAGATCCCTGCTACGGTAGTTGAAATTGAGCTCCTTCACCAGCTTTAACAGAGTTCCTTACATCCTGAACCGGAAGCCGTAAACTCAGCACCCCAACCCAACACATAACCATGCCGATAGCTATCCTAAGTCCAAAAACCTCATAAGTAGTGGAAGCCTAAACCCTAAGCCCAAATTACGAAACCTTAAAGCCAATACTCTAAGCCCGGGGCCAAGCAATGTATTCAATAATCAGTACATATTACATATGTAATAATATACGCAAAACAAGTAAATAAATAAGTATGCAAATAAGTAAATGAACAGATTCGTTTTACTAACAGTTGCCCTCAGAAAAATAGAGCCCATAGCATATCTACCCACAAGCCCGGTTCTACGGGTTAACCCTCGTTTCTTGGAACGCTTTTGAAAACCCTACAGAACCTTACGGGGAACTCCTACGAAGCCTTTTCCAAATATTCAGGCTCCCATTTAGCAGCTGAACCCTAAACCCGCAACCTGTATAGAATCCGCGTAAATCTCTGAAAGGAGCCCTGAAAGGATCCCTTTCAGGAAGCTTTCCAGAAAAGGAAGCGTTTAAGAAGCCGATGGCCCAGGATTCCACGGCCAAGGCTTTGATCTTCGTGCAGTGGGCAGATCTGGAGGCTCGTTTCCGGGAAGTTGGGTTTCTTCTAGGGTTCCTTTTGGGGTTGATAGGGTTTCTTAGGTTGAAGCTTCAGAGAATGTCTGTATATCATGTATGTGTAAAGGCTTCCGTCAACGGTTCCTTTGAGTGGTTCTTTCGGGAGGTTCTCTTCGAAAGCTTCATGGGTGTTGGGGTTTGGGGTTTGATGAGGGTTTGGGGTTCTGGGATTCTGGGGGCTTTGGAGTATGGGGATTTGCTCTTGTTAATGTTAAGGGGTTAGTGAATTGGTAAAAGCTTTAATGACAGAACCATATTAACACGACCAATCATGTCAAGTATTGCCTGCAAGCCCTTCGCACCTATCTAGCAGAAACCTTGCAAACAAAAGGGTCATACCAAGTATTGACTAACGCCGAAGTTATATTGTACACATGTTATATCCATTAGTCTATCATATTCTGTATTCGTGCCAGGGCGCAAAGAGATTGTGCGAATCAGAACCATTATTATCTAGCTTTGGTGCTGAAGCCTCTAGGCCGTACCGTGGATTGTCTGAAGGTCATGTCCAAACTTATAAAGACACCGCAACACCAGCTGTGGCTTCTCCCGTTTGGGCCAACCCACAAAAATGGCTCAGTTGTTTCTTCCACCGTGTGGATGTATTTTCTCCGTCTGGTTGTGTTTCGACCTGGTCGCTCCCTAAACCCCAGCCCTAGGCCCAAAATCCTTTAACCCCAGCCCTAAGCCCAACATCTTGAACCCCCGAACCCAGGACCCGGTTCCTAAGCCTGAGTTCCCAACCGTAGCACACAGTCGCACGGGAGGCAGCCGACCAAAACCATCGTAGAGGGGCCTTCATGACCAGAACAGGAGCTTTGGGTTCATTACAGTACGAGTCGCCAGCAGCGCCAGGGCCAAAGACACCTCCGGTGAGTCGCCCGCTGGGAAGGATGGCGGTCCAAAGGGCAGTGGCAAACGTCCGGCTCCTGCGAAGATCCGGACGATGATGAAGTCGCCACCACCGCCGACGCCAGGAGCACATCAAATGCAGTCGACCGGCACGAAAGCCACGTGGATATCGCCTGGACAGCAGTGGACGATCCCACGTGCCGAGGCCAACAACTTCAAAGAAAATGAACCGCTGCTTATAAGCCCTTCCACCAAAACAATCCCTTAAATCGAAAGAAAAGCCGGAAGAGCAGAACCCTAGACCCTTAAACTCGAACCCTAAACCTAACACTCCCAAAGCCAGGTGAAGGTCTGCCATGCTCTGCAGGACCTGCGGTGGCTTTGGGAGTTTCGGGGTAAGGGGTCTAGGGCATGTAAAGGTTATATGGGGTTTTGGGTTTGGGGTTTAGGGTCTAGGGTGTGAGAGTATCAGGGTTCAGGGTCCCCAGCGCTTTGAACCCACACCCCGACGACGCAAGGACCACACCATCATCCTAAACCCCAAACCCTCCACTCTAAACCCTAAACCCCACAGACGCAAGGATCACGGCATCAACTTCCTGCACGTTGGCAATGCCAAGCGTGGGCCTGCAACAAAGCTCAGTCGTGAGGATGGCCAGGTGCTTCGCAGATTCCAGGACGTTCATCGTCTCTTGTGGGTTTAGAGTCCGAAACCCTTTGGGTTTAGGGTTTAAGGCTCTTGAGGGTTTAGAGAATATCGGAGTTTCGGAATATACCTTAAATCATAATGTTAAGGCCCTAGAGTGTAAGGTCTATTCCTTGATTCAGGGTTTTGCGGTTTCAAGCCGATTCCACGGCTGACCGGTGCTCTTACTTAGTGCTGTTTTGGTGTTTCAGGTTTAGGGTTTGAGTTAGGTACTGAGGGCAATTTTTGGGTGAAAGAGAGTTTCTAGAAGGTTAAGGGTTTGGGGAAGTGGGGAAGTTCATAGAGGCTTGGCTTAGTTCTCAATTCATGGGTTCAAGAAGACATGCTGTGTTGGTTCTATGACGTTTGCATGAATGGCTGGAATCGGGTCCCTGTGAGGTCAACTCCTTAATGTACAGCTTCCGTCGAAGACCCTCGTGTTTTGGGGTTTAATGTTTTGAGGTTTCGGGTTTTAAGGTTTAGGAGGGGCGCACGTTCATTTGGCGGATACTGTGCTGCATTTCGACGCCCTTTGGCTATGAAGGCCACCATATGGGTAAAATAGTTCTTGCTCAGCCCACCTGCAATTCAGTAACCCTAAATCCTAAGCCCAAAAAGCCCCGCGCCCTAAACCCTAACTCCTAACTGAACCTACCAAAACCTAGCTTTTGTGTGCGCTTACTACAGACTCTAACACGGGACTTGTAGGGACCCTACAACAATGTCGGTTCTGGTAGGTTAAGGAAACTCTTAGCCGCCTTAGCCGCGAGCCTATGCCCGGATTCCCAAAACCACCCTGATCTTCAGGAGGAGACGGGCAAGAACGTCCCTTATGTCCTGGTGCTGCTGCTCCTGATTATTGCTTAACTGAAGTTGCTGCAACCCCTAAACCCTAAACCATGTGAAGGACCTGGCAGGCCGAGTCCCAAATAGTAGGGTTCAAGGATGGGATACCGCAAGGGTTACTATAAGCTACTATGGGGGTCCTGCAACAGTCCTCTAGTCTAGACCCCATAACTCAAAGGAGCCCTTCTTGAATTCTATAGACCCCTCAAGGGAACCCCAAGATAATCGCACTCTCTGGGCCCCTTCAATGAAGCCTGAAACAAAGTAGCCCCAAACACCCTACACCCTAAACCCACCTAAGCCCTAAACCCTAAGTTCCTAAAGCCCTAAACCCTGAAGCCCTTTATGCCCTGAACCCTAAAAACCATCTCAACTCCCAGAGCCCTAAACGTGCTCTTTTCTGCCGCCCGCCCGGAGGCCTTGGGCTGCAATTC